TAATTTTTATTTTTATTTTAATAAGGATTGTCTCTTAAATATAAGGCAGCAGGATAGAATACAGCAGAAGAGAATATTGTTCAAATGCAGCTGCTAAGTAATCAGAGCATCATTGTCTGAACAATGCTTGCAGATTTCATATGTATGTGAAGTACAAATGTGATATGTGCAACAATTCGAAGTGTTGGCAATACATATCCACTCTCCTCTTCCAAATTTACCCACACGCTCTGTACTGCAGCACTTGACTTAGACTCAATGAGGGAAAGAGAAGCAGTGGGGAAGAGACATCAATTTTTGTATGAATACTCAGTGTCTCTTGACATATGCTGAGTGCCAGCTAATCAAAGCAGAGGGAGGTAAAGGTTATAAATATAGGAGTTAAAGACATCCCACTGGATTTGGCAGCTGATCCACATGGGACCAAGAGATGTATCTGCAGTCATGGGCTAGGTCCAAAAACCTGTACTGCTTTGGATACAGTCTACAGATTTCTGTTTCATCAGCAGCAAAGGACCAGATAGCTATTAACACTAAGGTTGGAATGCTGTATGCGGTGGAGATCCCCAGACAGTTTGTTGGCTAACAGGGTTCTGAAGTGTTTGAAAGGACCGAAATGCTGCTATTCTTCAGACTCTGAAGAGTCCAGTGACACAATATATATATATGATGATCACACAATAAAAACTGAGAAATCATGTCTGAGCAAAGATGAGAGGGGAATGTGTTTATATGTATGTGCTAAATTATAGAAGTGTAAGTGTGATGTTGGAACTTTATATCGGAATATATATAACAGCAACAAAGTGGGGAAGGGTGTAGAACACCAGTACATTTACTGCCTAACAGCTTTGTTTACAAGTTATTCATAGTATTCCAATGTTTTATTCTATTTAAAGTGTTTTCTCTGTGCATTTTTTTAAAACTAAAAGACTATATGGTACTTTCCTTGAAGTTTACTGAGAACTATTAACATCTACATATTGGGGGTTTATACACAACATGTCTAAGGTTTAACTGATAGATTCCAAGGCCAGAAGAGAGCATTGTGACTGTATAGTCTGATCTCCTGTATAACACAGGCCATAGAACTTCCCCAAAATAATTTGTAGAATATATTTTAGAAAAAACATTCGATCTTGATTTAAAAAATTAAAAATCTATCGTGACCTTTGGTAAATTGTTCCAATGATTAATTACTCTCACCATTAAACAATTACACCCCATTCCAGTCTGGATGTGTCTAACTTCACCTTCTAGCTATTGGAACATGTTATACCTTTCTCCAACCCATTATTAAATATTTATTCCCCAAATGATCACAGACAATAATTAAGTCACCCCTTAACTTTCGCTTTTTTAAACTAAATAATTTAATTCTTTGAGCCTATCATTATATGGCATATTTTCTAATCCTTTTTCACTCTTGTGACTCTTCTCTGAACGCTCTCCAATTATCAATGTCCTTCTTGAATTATGGGCAACATAACTGGACACAGAATTCCAGCAGCAGTCATACAAATGCCGAATATAGAGGTAAATAACCTCTCTACTCCTGCTCAATAATCCCCTGTTTATGCATCCCAGGATTTCATTGTTAAAGATTGGCTATGGACAGTCGAGGTTAGCAGTTAAAGCAAGAATTCAGCCTACCAACTACAGCTGGGTCCACAACGGACAGAGTCTAGGATGAGCCATGGGTAAGTGCCAGAGAGACAGAAGCCAAATCCCAGAGCCAGAGGGTCAACCAGAGACATAAGCAAAAGACAGAGCTGAGGATCACTACAGGGATACAGGATCCAAAGGGGAACCAGGGCTGGAGCAGAGCAGGAGCATGGACTAGAAGCAGGCTGGAGCAGGAACTGAGACAAGGGCAAGCACAGCTTCAGGCATGGTACACATTGAGCAGTCAGAGAGCTAGTAATGCTGTTGGGCTTCCTTAGAACACGGTTCTACTGGGTGACTTTAGCCTAGTGCTCCCATGCATAAAGACTGCTTCGTGTGCACTTTGCTAATGTTTGCTCCAGTTTGCACTGCAGACAAACTAAGAACAGATGAGTTCAGGATTCACTGCAGTTACTTCATAGAACTGATTAAGGATTACATGTAAATTTACAAGACTATGGAAATAAGACCCTTAGGCCTTGTTCTCATTAGGAAAAAATGTGTTTTTTTTTTTTTACCATGTGTTAGCTAACTTGTGGTGATTAATATGTGGTAAAATCCTAATATTGACAAGTCAGTTGTAGTTTTCACACATTAGTTAGTTGAGGTAAACCCTAATGTTTGACTGCTAACGTGTGAAAACTACAAACTGCCTTGTTCATACTAGGATTTTACCACCTTTTAGTTACCATCTGTTAGCTAATACATTGCACAAAAAACAATGTTTTTTTCTAGTGTAGAGGCACCTTACAGAACTCTCGGCCCTGGTGGGGGATAAAGGGTATGTTTAAAGGGACATTAAGGTTAAGCCACCATTACATCCTCCTGATCTTGGATTTTTCCCCTGGCATATTTCAGACAGACCTGAGGGCCTAAGTTACAGCAGCCTACTTGGCTCCCCCTATGAGGCAAAATAAGGCCCAGAATCTCAACAGCATTGGTTGGTGCACCCCTCATGCCTCAGCATGCCCCCTATCCTGATGTTTGTGAGGGTGTCCTCAGAGGCAGTCTTACAGCTGTCAATCACAGTGTGAGCAAGTGGGAATCCTCTTTTGGCCAGTTATGGGTTTTTTAGTGTAAACGGCCTACAGTGGGGGTTGACCATCTCACCAATGAACTCAAATGTCTGTCCATTAGCACTATTTTGATTCCAATATACTCATTTCTATTTAAACAAAATATATACAAATGTAGGGTTACCATATTTCAGCAAGCAAAAAAGAGGACGGGAGGAGCCCCGCCCCTGTCCTGCCCTAGCCCCGCCCCTGTCCTGCCCTAGCCCCGCCCCTGCCCCGCCCACTTCCCCGCCCCCCTCAGAACCCCCAATCCTCCT